AGATAGGAGAGGTCTGCCATGCCATGTGGGCCACCTCCCTGGGCAGGGATTGAAGTAGTGCTCCAGTGGCTGCAGATAGCTTCATAGTGCTGTGCTTTAACCCGCTGACCCACCAGAGAGGGCCCTTTTAATGGTCTTTCTACAGCATTTGCAGTGAGGTAACCAGGCATGGGGAAGGCTGTGGGGGTTGGGGGCTGGGTAGCTGGGGCTGGAAGGCCTCCCGGTACCGGGGGAATCTTTGCTATCTCTGGGCTCTCTGGCGTCCTCTCGTGATCTCGTCCTCTCACAGTCGTTCTCGGTTGCTGTCCTCTGCCGCCCCTGTAGGCTCAGCCTCTAGCCTCAGGTGTGCCTGCTGTGCTCGCCCATACCCTAAAAGCCCAAGCAATCTTCATTCACCCTACACTGGTCCAAGGCTTTCTGGCTTTGGCTACCTTTTACAAATTACCTATGTGTTTACTGAGTGCTCTCCCAACAGCCTCAGAGAATCTGCTCATTGCTAGAGATAAAGGAACCTTGGATGATTAAGCTGAACACAGCAAGGTCTGGCCGCAGGCAGACCAGCCTCCGCCAGCCAGTGCACCCTGAGGCAAGGGTCTTCCACTTTTGTCTAGTGACCACTTGTCTGTGTAAAGGAATTTTTGCATCTCTATCTCAGTAAGTTAGTAAAATGTGTAAACTGACTTTTAAGTGAGATGTCAGTAGGGTCGTGTCCACTATCTGTCTTATGTTCCTGGGATCTGTGGTCACTACCAAGCTGGCCCAGGTTGCCTCAGTACAGTGAGCGCAGTAGCCCTCACTCTGAGGTGCTGCTCCTCAGGGATGGAGAAGGACCTGGGGCTCCCAGGCACTGTCTGGATGCAGGGCTCAAGACCCTCTCTTCAAGCCCAGAACCCCAGTATCTGTACCTTGAGCCCAGTGGAGGGGTTGCTGCCAGGGCCACACATCACATCGCCACAGGGCCCTCACAACTCTTGGATCCATTCCACACTCCTGGGAGTTAGGTCAAGCTGGGCAGGATAGAAACAATACAGGGTGGAAGGAACCAGAATTGCTGCTGAGAAAAGTCTTGGCCTGTCGGTTTGTACAAAGGTAAGAGAATCCGCAATTCAGATATGTGACTGTATGAAGTCCTCTCCTTCCTCACAGGTGGCATAGGGTGGATCTGCTTGCTGGTTGTGTGTCAGAAGGTAGAGCCTGAATTCTACCACAGGACAGTTAGGAACTTGCTTCTGCAGACCAGTGCCCATGAGGGTTTTCTGGAGACCACATGTGGTGATCATTCCCCTGAAACCTCAAATTTCATCCTGGGGTTCAATAGAACCAAAGGGGACACACACCTGGCCTCCCCTGTTGTGACTCTCTGCATGGTTTTTACAGAATGGTCTTTTCTGCAGCTAAGGCTTTGGCTAGTAACGAAAGACAATGAACAAGAGTGTTATGAACTCATTATTTCCTGGGAGGTAATGAGGTTGTTGAGATGTGTCTAGAAGCACCTTTCACACTTCAGTTCCAGGAATAGCCATGCTCTGCCAAGAACTGGCTTTTGTTTTCTAACTTCTGGCCTATGCATATAACACAACTCATTATTCATTCCTTCACCAGCTACCTGGAAGCTCAGGGCATTGTACTCGTGCTATAAACCTGTCATGCTATAAACTTGTCATGTTAACTGAGTCTGTACTTTTACTTTTTTTTCTTTATTTTACCTTCCTCCTGAGAGTGTTCTTTTCTCTTTTCTTAACCATCTTATATTCTCTGTCAGCCCCCTCATAGACTTTGAAATAAAAGGGGTGTATCCTTCAGTGACGCTTGAGCTGTTGTGCCATCTGCAAGTGCACAGCTCGGTTGTGGCGAGGGTCACCTGGGCACCAGGGTTACCCCAGCAACCCGGAGGCCCCAGCACTGCAAGTCCCGAGGGCCCCGAGTAAAGGGTCTCACAGCCTCAATGCCTAGGCACCTGCTGATGCTAAGTGAGAACTTAGTAATATTGGCAGGTGGCTGCAGGGTCCAAGAAGGAGCATCTTCTCTCCTCCCAGAGGCGGGTCTGGCCAGTCCTTCAGATATTTACTGAGGGCTCGGATGCTGAGCGCTGGCCAGCTGGGAGGCATGGAGAGCTGGTGCTGCCCACAAAGCACTTCCAGCTGGGGTCTCTCTTCCAAGCCCAAGCCCCTTCAGGTTTCGATCTGGCCAGAATTCTCGCGAGTCCAGATGCGCCGAGACAAGGGATTATTACAATAAACATCTCATGTGGAGAACAAAGAGCCCAAAGAAGAAACCCCTAAGTCAGAGACTAGAGAGACTCCCACATGTGTTTTGCAGGGAGAGGAGCAGACTCAGGCCAACGCTCCCTGCAGACATGACCAGGCGTGAAGCCCAAAACAATCACATCTATAGTGTCACCAAAGACTCACAGAGGAACTTCTTGGCATTGCAATCCCAGGACAGTATTTGGTTTCTGTAATGTTGAGACAAATGTTTTCCTACCTAGCCGTTATGTCTGGCTGTAAGTGATGGGAAGTCAGTTTGTTCTGGCAGCTGTGAAATGCTGGAGGGAGAGGGGTTAACCACATGCAAAAACTTGTACACAAGCCTAGTTGCTCTCACATGGTGTGGATTTCCAGCTGCTGGAAATGGGCCGTATACACACAGCCCTCTGTGCTCCGGCCTCCCGAGCCCAGTAGTGGAACTGGAAGACCTGGAAATCCCAGGCGCAGCCCAAGTTGACCTTCCTCACAGCCCAGGATGTAATCAGCACTGCCAACTATTCACCACTGATATTTGTGGCTATATTAACATTTTCCTTGAAGGACACTGTCCTGTTTTTGACAGTGAGGTGGGGAGTATACTTTACAATTCACTACAAATAACAGTGGCATTTCCTTTCCAAACAGTTCTGCTTTATTCATAGGAGAATCCACATCTTCCCCAGTACAGAAGCCACAGGAGCTGGGAACATGGGTCTTGGTGGGCTCTGAGGGGTTGTCTGTCAGTCCACGTTATGGGCCCATTTTCTACTACAGCATGACACCCCAAACAGCCTCGTATGCACGGGCAGTACATACCCATGTCGAAAAATGAAGGCAAAACATCTCTGTGTGTGTGAGACAATACCCAGGCCTTTGCTGATATCTAGGACAACCTAAGTACTTACCACTGCTCTCCAGCTCTTTTTGTTCTTCACCTCACAGCTATCAGATCATGTTGGACTGTTGGCACAAAGACCCAAAAGAAAGGCCACGATTTGCAGAACTGGTGGAAAAACTCGGTGATTTGCTTCAAGCAAATGTACAGCAGGTAAAGAGGAATTTAGCTAGCTACCAGAAAGGCAAATGCCTTTGAATTCCTTTGAATGTAAGTCAAGAGGTTGTTTGGTGGTGTTTTGATACTACATTAATACTACAGCTGTGATAAATAAAAAGGGAGGTGTGAGTGCATGAAAGTGTGTGTGCAGAATTGTAGTGTCCCAAACATACCAGAGATTGAGAATTATAGTGGAAACTCATAGATAGAGGTTGCAGTAGAAATGTGTGCCATAGAACTCCATCTTGGTATTTTAGGATGGCAAGGACTATATCCCGCTGAATGCCATACTGACAGGAAGCAGTGGCTTTACATACTCAGCTCCTGCCTTCTCTGATGACTTCTTCAAGGAAGATATTTCAGCTGCAAAGTTTAATTCAGGAAGTTCTGATGATGTCAGGTAAGACTCTCTTTCCTCAACTTTGTCAGAAAGTTTTCAGAAATACCAGCTCCTTAAGTGACGGTAACTAACATTTTGCCCTATCTTCTCTAAATATTCTAGATGTGTGTCATTTTCTCTTTGCTTTTTTGTTGCACCATCTAAAAGAGGGCTTAAGGCATGTGGCTATTATATCCCTAAATACTTTGAATACATAAAGATACCAAAAAGTAGAGAGCTCATCTTGTAAGAAGGATATTCTCCTGTATAACCACACCAAAGAAATAATTACATATTATAAATATTCACATTTCATAATTCCCCCCTAAGTGTTTTATACCTTTTTAAAAAGCTGTATCCAATCGAGACTAACACATTGAGTTTCTTTCATTTCTTTAATCTCACTCGAATAACTCCTCCATCTTTTCCATTTTTAAATGACTTTGCCTGCTTTCATGAGGGTGTAAATAAAAGCCCACACCCTGGATTTTCCTAGCATGGCAAACTAACACATGTTTCACTATTGCACAGGGACTCAGAGTAGGGGAGGAGGCTTGAGCCTCCTCCCTGGGTGCTGGGTAGAGGGCTGCATTTCAGTACCATGGTCACATGGACATCCACCTCATCAGTAGTAGCAGTTCCACATGTATCTCCCTTGCACATACAGCCATACGAACTGGCACAGGCACCAGGGTCAGTATTAACGGACACACAAACACGGAGGCCTGGTACTACACCAGGCTATTTGCATGCCCAACATCATCAACTAAGTAGCGGTCACTCCTGTTAAATGAATGGAAACCTGAAGGCTCTTTGGGGGACAGCTTGCCAGAACAGTGCGGCTAAAAGGCGGCTCGATCTCCTACCCCAGGATTCTGTCACTCCCTCCCTTTCTCTGCAGTCAGGACACCTTGTAGGCCTGCTAGGCTCTCCTGTGGGTTTTTTAGCGTCTGCCTTAGTCACACTCCTGGGGCTTTGACCTCAGTTCAGCCAAACATGACTGTGACCAGGGAAGATATGGGGAGGAACTGTCGCTGTCCGAAAAGACTGATAGCTGTGGCAGAAAGGCCTGAAGCCTAGCAGCCAGTCCAGATTTGTGGTCATGGGCCGAGGTCCAGAGCTCTGCTCACACTATACAACCAGGCAAATCACCCAGTTTTTACAGGCAAATCACCCATTTTTTTAAAGATAAAAATATGGGCAGGGACTGAGGGGGTCACAGGTGAGGGAAAAGGAGTAGACTTTTTTTCCAGTATGTTGCTAAGTCTTAGGCCCATCAGGGAGCTTGCCTAAGAAGTTGGATTTTCATATGGGGACAGCATATCGGACTAAGAAACTCACACAGGTGAACTTGTCTTAGGAGTACCCTGTGATCTCTCTGGTGGTCTTTCCTAATAGATCACAGATCAGCAACAGAACATCAGTAAGTAGTGATAGTGAAATCACGCAAGTGCCACACATTTTTCCCATTTTCTACTGGCAGAACAGAATATCCGGGACTAGTCCTACTCAGTTATACCATTAAGTTGGCTGTGGCCTTGACAGCCATTTCATTTGCTGCCTTACATCCTTTTGGGAAGTAGACAGTTAGAAAGTCCTCACTTCTCTGGGCAATATCTGCTTCCTTTGTTATGCAGGGGTTTTAGACCAGCTGATGCTTCAGGTCTTTTTAGGCCTGACAGTTTGATTTCACAGGGCACCAGAAGTCTAACTACTGAAGTCTTTTCTGGGTGCTCCTGGGGTTTGCGTAAAACTATGTAATGCAGACAAACTACCATGGAAGGCAGTGGGATTGTTGTCAGAATTGCTAGAACACAGTGGAATTTCTGCCTCTGAGAGAGGAGGCAATTCTTCCTGGTGTTTTGTTTCATCTTAGCTGGAATATGTTGCCTCTGGTCCCCTGATAAATCAAAATGGAACATTATTTTGCCATCTTGATGATTCCTTCTGCTTCTCCATCAGATACGTAAATGCATTCAATTTCATGAGCCTGGAAAGAATCAAAACCTTTGAAGAACTTTCACCAAATACCATGCTTGATGTGAGTATTAGCATCTAACTATTCAGCACACCCTGGCAGGCCCTTCGCCAGACCCCATTCAGCATAGACTCTGGTAACCTGGTGTCCTGGAGTGAGTGGGAGCTGAAATGACAATGTCAAGGGGACTGACAACTAGACTTACTTAGGAAGAGTGTGATCTGAAAGTAGATTCCATAGTTTGAAGATGACCCAGAATTTATTCCTGAGTCTATGTCCTTGTCTGGTTATAATTTAATCCTTTAGGAAACTTCATTGTGAGTTTCTAAGCTTCTTGTCTTTCAGTGATCAAGACTTGCTTTCAGAGCAAGAGAGGAATCAAAGCTGTGTGACTAGTTAGACCTTCATGTGCACAAGTCCTGGAAAACCAGCAGCCTCTGTGTGGAGGAGATGACCACAGGGTGGCCCGGAGCCACAGTTGTCGTAGAGAAAAGCACAAAACTTTTCAAATACACAAGATAAAAGAGAAGGGTATTTTAAACCTTTTTTTTTTAAAGGTTTATTTATTTATACATACAAAACTGGGGTATAGGCCAGAGGTGTGGTAGATGAGAGGCTTCACCAGAGACAGAGTGGGGAGCAGAACAGGCAGATCTACTGAAATACACTGCTGAGGGGAGCAGCGGGTGGGTCAGAAGAGGTCTGCCGCACCGTGTGGATCAGCTCCCTGGCCTGGAATCAATCTCATGCTGCCGTGCTTCAGAGAGCTTCATAATGCGGTGCTTTAACCCATTGTGCCCCCAGGGAGAGCCCGGGATTTTAAACTTTTAAACATCACAAATAAGCTGCAGAATACAAAAGCAAACTGGCCCTCTCTGGTGGCACAATGGGTTAGAGTGCAGCACTGCAAGCTGGCCGCAGCTACTTCAGTGCCAGTTCGATCCCCGCCCCAAGGTGACCACATAGCTCAGCAGACCTCTCCTGACCCACCTGCTGCTCCCCTCAGCAGTGTACTTTGTCAGTCTGCCTGTTCTGCTCCCCTCTCTGTCTCTGGGGAATCTTCTCACCACCCCTACACCTCTGGCCTGCACCCAGGCTCTGTAAGCATAATAAATCAATCTTTAAAAATAAACTGTTAAAAGAAAAATAAAAGGAATACAAAGGCAAAACTAGCTGGACATTTTGTTGTACTGCTGGGCACACTGGTTTTAAATCCAAGGAAACGATAGCATAATACAAAAGCTTTTTTTTTTTAACCGCAACCCTCACATCTCAACAGTGGAGAACAATGATAGTGTCCTGATAATGGAGGACATGACCATGGCCAGTGAGAGACTCAAAGGGTAACAGGAGCCAGGTCTGGGATTCACTTACTGGAAGTGCCGTATTAACGGAATAATGTGGATTCTGCTTAAACTCAGTGATAAAGAGGAGCCAATGTGGAAAATGGAATTGCTAGAAGCCATGAACAAGGAAGGCCTGCAGATTCCACTTCAAGAAAAAAATTAAACCATGCTTTCACAGTTCCTCAGAACTTATGCATAACATGGCATACCAATAGCAATAGTCATCTGCCAGAATTTGTCTTAGTATATTGATGTGGTTATGTGCGTAAAAGCTTACTGTGAAACGCACTCACCTATTACCAGTAGCTTTCCTTTTATTTAACTGTCTTTTCTCCATCTTCAGGGGGAAAAATCTCAAAACTACTGGGAATGGCATTACTTAGAACTGACAAATTTTAGTGTGAATTATCCAGGGAAATGCGGTCTAAGCACAGGCAGCAAAGAGCGAGGTAGAGCCTGCTCTTTGACTTCCGATGCGTCTCTATTACCATCCTTCAGACCTGCCATGGGCCCCTAGGACAAGCAGCTCAAGCAACCCTCTCCTCTCTTCCCTGCCAGGATTACCAGGTGGACAGCAGCACTCTGCTGGCCTCCCCGCTGCTGAAACGCTTCACCTGGACGGAGAGCAAACCCAAAGCCTCGCTCAAGATTGAGTAAGGAATCTGGTATCTTCTCTGCCGTCAGCTGATAGGGGTTAGGGAGGGGAAGCTGGAGGACATGGCTGAACAGGGCTCCAGGGAGGCTACTTGTGCTCCTGAACTGTAGTGTTCAGGTATTGCAGAGACGCAGTTTGTCCTCAAGAGCAAGAAAGACGACAAAATCAGAGGTATGAATACCAAACTTGAGGAAGGAAAACAGGTTGATAAAAACCGTGCAGAAAATCCAGCCAAGACTTTAAGCCTGATACACCCTCTGTGGACCGTGCAGATAGAATTAAGACCCGCTCACGAGGGCAGGGAGAGAATGCCCGCCCACGATGAGGCGCTGGCCCAGGGAGGTCTGTATGAGAGTGGTCACAGGGCCGTTTCTGGCTTAACGCCTGCCATCCCAAGGACCCTCCCAAGTGGAGGCTTCTCTTGTGTCCCCAGCATGCCTCCCTGCGCATAGGCCATCAACTCCCATCACAGTGACCTGTCCCTGAGGACCACTTCAACTTCTCTTGGCTAGTTACTAGCTACTAGCATGCTAGGCAAGGGGAAGCTAGGCCTCGCACGCATTCCTTTTCTTCTGGGCTCAAATGCCTGCTCGTGCCTCATGCAGAGACAGAACCTGCTCCCCTTTCATCTAAATGAGAGGTTAGCATGTACTTTTCCTTAAAGAGCCAAATCGTAAGCACCACGATGAGTGAACTCTGCCACTGCCGTCTAACATGGGCGACTGGAGCTGGTGTTAGTGGGGAGGCTGTGAGCAGCTTTAGAGCAAGGCGCATCTGGCTCAGTGACTCTAGAACCGTGTGAACAGTGGCTCACAAAGACAAGAGCGGACGTCAGTGTTTTGTTTTCGAGAAACCAATGTTGTACATTTGATTACATTTTCTTTTCTTTCTGTAGCTTGAGAGTAACCAGTAAGAGCAAGGAGTCTGGGCTTTCTGAGCTCGCCAGGCCTACTTTCTGCCATCCCAGCTGTGGGCACATCAAAGGCCAGCGCAGATTTACATACGACAACTCGGAGCTGGAAAAGAAGATTTCCTGCTGTTCTCCTCCCCCTGACTACAACTCGGTGGTCTTATATTCCACCCCACCTGTCTGAAGCTTGACAGTATTATTTTTAGAACCACATGTGTATTTATACCCCCAGAAAACTAGCTTTTACCAGTATTATACATATATAAATTTACACTTTTATCTTTTCACAGCAGTATTTTTCCTTTTGACTAACAAGAATGTAACCCCAGATAGTTTAAGTGAAGAAAACTACTGCTAAAACCTTACATTACTCAGTGTGTTTAGAGAAACCCCCTCTCAGCCCAGTGACTCCCCTGCAGTGCTCCTTCTACCCCCCCATCCCACCCCAACACCTCAGGGCGGTAGGGCTTTGGCGGTTCAGGAGCTGCACTAGTGACCAGACAGCCCCGTTGGGCCAGCCGCTGGCGCCCCACAACCAGGAGCCCGACTAAGCAATGTTGCTAGGGTCCACTAGTGGACTAAGACAGGCAAGGAGGAGAAGGGAGAAGGCATGAGAAGAATTTAAACTATGCATATGGGTAGAGAGGAGAAGGTGGCAACCAACCATGTCAGTGGCTTGGGAACCTAGCTGGGGAGCAGACAGGACAGAGGGATGAGGCCGTATTTTCTGGATTCTTGGGTGGCAGGACAGAAATTTTTGGAACTACAAGAGAAACTATAAAATTTTGTTATGGGATTGTTCTACTCCCATTTCCATTTTTATTTTTTTCTTTTTAACATTGAGGGTGATGCTCAAATCTGAGCCTGTACTGAGGGCTTCTCTAGCAAGATACACTGGAAACCGAGCCTCGCGTGAGCCCTCGGGCACGGCACCTCGCACTGTGCTTATCGCTCGTAGTAAGCAAACTGGAACAAGTTCAGTCTGTTAGGGGTATCTGTTGGGCTTAAGACCACTTTCAAAAACAATATCCAATCCTGTTTTGAATATTAATGTGTAGTTAAGACACAATTCAATTTCTGGTATCATAGTTAACTATAACAAGAAGCTAAGGAGGATTCCTTGTGTAGGGGTTAATTATTTTATTTGTGTGTGTGTGTGTGTGAGTATATTACCAAAGTAGAATAGATGGAATAAAGAAATAGCAGAGTGAAACACCCTCTCTCTATACCAAACGAACTCACTGAAACTGTTGGAATTTAACAAAGGATGGGAAGCCAACTGTGTCTCCTCTTTATGTAACAAGAATTCTGTCTCATGCTAGTCTCCTGGACGGGTGTGGAAGAGCATTAACCAATGTTTATTAAGCACTTTATATATGCCTTGCAAAAAAAAGAGGTGGTATGTAACTTATACAAAGGTATTTCTAGAATTGGAACTCAGGATATTATTGAACCATCATTCAAAGTCTCTTTTCATGTTTTGGACCCTGCCTTGGGTCTGAGGAAGGTGGAAAGAGGGAGACAGGGTACAAAAGGGTGCCTATGCTTCAGGGCTTAAGGGTCAATAGACCCTGAATTTCTCAACTGGCGGAGGCCACATACTGAGGAAGGTTGTACCTTCTGAAGCCAGTCAAAGCTGGACAGGCAATGGTGAATTGCTACTTAAGGTAGAAGAAGAGCATACTTCCCTTTATGCATATAACATGATTCCAATACCTGAAATATAAGAGAAGGATTTCTGCTTCCTTTCCTTTGTGTTACATTCTTAAAGTTCTTTGTATGAAGAGATGGAAAGTCAGCACATCCCAAGTGAGACAGAGTGTGCTGGGCTGAGTGTTCTGTGTGAGTCCAGCCTCCTACAAGAGCCAAGTTCAGACAAAATGAGGAAGGACAAAGCCAGGAGGGGAAATCAAAGCTTTGTTCTCTCTTTTCTTTCTATGCATACAAACTACCTATGACTTAACAGCAGTGTTATAGATAACCAGAAGGAAGTTCAAAGGAAGGAAAATAAGGACCTCAATCAATTCTGGTTTTCAAATCAGATAAGGATCCAGCAACTAGTGGCAACAAAGAAAACCCTTAGCTATACATAGTAATGTCCTGATTCTTGATTTCAATGATCTACTTCTTATTAAGAGAACTTACTCGCACCATTTTTTCCAAAAGAAAAAAAAAAAACTATTAATTCTGCTTCTTTGAAGACTCAGGTTTGTGGCTCCATAAGTCTATCAGTCAAAATATGATGGCAGAATTAACACAGAAAAGTGGAAGCTTGCAAGTGATGACTGTATCTAGTTGCAAAGTGCTTGCCATAGACTGGCTCATTCAAATAGCACTGAGCTTCAGACACTGATTAATTAATGGTATTATTTGAACCGTTTGTCATTTATGATAGCAATGGCTGGCATGAACAATTACAGAACAAGCACTTCTTTTCAGGATTTTGAAGATTGTGTGTAACAGCAGGATGCAACAGCACTAAAGCCAAATGCAAGTCCATATCTAGTTAGCCTTATCTAGTCAGCATAATAAATGATGCTCAGGCCTTAAGTGTTATGCCACGGAACAATTATATCCAAATTCTGGAAAATCTTTGGCCTTCTAGGTATGCTTTACTTCATAGCACGTAACACTGTCAAACATGAGATACTTTGCTAGAGTATTGGTTAAAGGAAGAGTGTGTCTTTGACTGAAAGCAGTAGCAACTCTATGTACATATATGTATGTGTGTGTGTTGTCTTTAACTATTTAAGGAAACTGGAATTTTAAAATTACTTTTATACAAACCAAGAATATATGCTGCAGATATAAGACATAAGTTGGTCCTATAGCTCTAGTCACTATGAATGTATTTTGTATACTATCTTCATATAATAAAATTAACTTCCAAAAAATCTACATATTTCCTCTAATTGTTTATCAGTGAAAAGTGGGGTCATAGGATTTTATGGGGGAGTGCTCATTAAATGTCAATTATGAAACACTCTTAAGAAAGATAAAGCAAACCCTGCTAAGAGGACAAAGAGCTTTCCTATCAGGACACTATAAAGCTGATTTAAAAAAAAAATCATATTAAGCAGATTGCCCAGAAAACAAAAATGAGTAAGCTCACAAAATTCAGACTGAATACACATGCTGGCTGTGGATGAAAGTGACCTCAATTTAAAAAGAGGCAGAATTCCCCAAACACTAATTTTCAGCTAATAGATAATGACCACAATTACAGGATGCGTGTTGCGCATGTGAACTAGAGGTCCTATGCAGGAAACCATACAAAATAATTAAGCAACAGCCTAAGACACCACAGCTACCCTAAGAAAAGTACAGAGTAAATCATTCTTCCATTTTACTTTGTGGATTACATCCTAGGAAAAGAAAAAAAAGAGAGAGAGAACTTAGATAATCACTAATAGGCATAGAATAATACACCATACATTTTCTTAGAAAATGGTCATGCTATCACTTTCCTGGTAACATGAAGAGGAACTAGATCGGAGACAGGATGAAGAATAACAGGTGTACTTTTTTGGGCAAAGGAAGAAAGGGGATCAATGGTTATCTCAATAAGTTTGTGGTTATTTGAGGCAAGCACAGGGCACTTTTATCTTCAAAATCTGAAATCCTTTAAAAATGTTGGTTTTCATGACTTAAGTCACTCACTTAGGAAAATAATTTGAAGAATGCTCAAGGAATTGATGTCATATCATAGTTTAAAATTTTTCTCATGAAAAAAATTTTTCTCATGAAAAAGTTCCTGGAAACTTATAATACATTTGGGATTTTTTTTTTCATTCCTCAGAAAGATGGCCCAGTAAGGTTTATTGAAGGCCCTGGTGTTAAACATAGACTTTGGTTTTCATAGGCCAAAAAATACTTCAAAAACATTCTGGGTCTTAACATAGAATGGTTTTCTACTTTTCAAACTAAGGACATTTAAGGGAGGAAAAACCTAAAAACAAAACAAAACAAAAACAGCAACCATAAACTAGATAACACTGTGCTCTCCTCAGGACCTGGAGATAATACAGGCATGAGTTCATTTTGTGGTAATTCATTGACTTATTTGCAAACCTGCAGGCATGTGTGCATGTAACTCATCAACACCATTTTAAAGACAGGGTAAAAAGAGACTAATTTACTACCACAACTTTTCATAGAAGAACCTATTTTAAAAGGAGTAAGGACTTAATCTTAGTTTAAAATATGTCAACATTATCTACAAGCAACTTTTCTAAGCACTAAGGAATAAACTCATAATTTTCAGAGCAATCTAACGTGACAGGTACTAGTAGTATACTCATGTGAGTAGGAAAACTGAAGTAACACAAGAACTTCAAACCCCCCTCCCATGACAGCTATTGACCTAAGAGCACCTGAAATCACGCTCTGCCTTCTCTTCAGATCGTCAACTCCAAACACATACTAGTGTACTTGAGCCCACTCTCATCTATTTGGGGACATCGCTTCCCCAACTACCACCCCACTCAGGCCCAGCAATTTATTCCTTTTCCATCAGATCATACAAACATACAATTACCTCTCCCATCTTAGGAACTTTCATCCCTACCTTCTCTCCAGGCACCACCCACATCTCTCTCCTTAAGAGCAAAGTTCCTTGAAAGAGCTGGTTATGTATGTTCCTTGTGTTTGTTTCCCAGGCACCCTCAAATCCACTTAAGCCTAGCTTTTGTTCTCATATTCTTGGAAACTGCTCTTTAATAAGGCTCTCAGTGACCTCCATATTGCAATATCCATGGCCAATTTCTAGTCTGTGTTTCTTGACCCATTAGTAACTTGACCCTTCTTCCTGAAAACCTTTACTTTGATTCCAGGTCATCTCCCATTTTCTTCCTACGTCATTGGCCATTTCTGTCTCTCTAACTCATTTTCTCTTTGACCTTTGAACATTATTCCAGTTACCCCAATGCTCTGCCTTTAGGCCCTTGCTGTCTCAGTCTATACTAACTCCCCTTTCCCATCTCCACCAATTTCAAGGTTTCACTTGACACCTATATGACAATGACCAGAAATCTACATTTACAGACTATGTCTTTCCTAAACTCCAAACTCATGTGTGTATTAAACTGACATCTGCTGTGGCAGTCTTTCTTCCAAAGATAGCAACAGTATTCCCATCTCACATGACCTCTGTAATGTGCCCTTGCCACACTGCCATCAAATTCCTCTCCTCTAGCATCAGAGCTGGCCTTGTGACTCACTTGTAATCACCAGAATATGGCACAAGTGATGCATGACTCCCAACCCAGGTCAGAAAGATCTTGCACTTTCCATCCAAGTCTCTTGGAACACTCATTCTCCAAAAGTTCGCATTAAGACCCAGTTGCCTTGCCTGGAGAGCCATATGTAGGTGCCCCCAAGCTGAGCCCACCCTATTAGTCATTCCATTCCAGTGCCAGATGATTTCAGTCCCCCATCCATGAGAATTTTCCTGGCTGACATCCCAAACATAATGACAAAAAGATAAGCTATCCTGGGTGTGTCCTGCCCAGATACCCAAATCCGCCATGCAGATAGTAAAATGTTGCTTTATGCCACTAAGTTTGGCATCCCTTGCTACCAAACAATAACCACAAAAAAAATAAGTACTGAAGCTCTCAAAACAGGCCCTTCATTCCTACAACAATCTCTTTTAATAACAGTAGAATCCTCCAGCCAGCAGTAGGCCAGAATCTTCATAGCCATTTGGACTCCTCTCTTCCTTTCTAACTCCACACTCAATTAATTAGGCCATCCTGTGGCTCTACCTTTAAAATATATTCAGAATTCCAGGCCCTCCCAGTTGGTGCAGCAGGGTCAGTTAAATTTGAACTTCAGGTAGATAGTAAATATGTCTGTCCCAAGCAATAACTGTCATATTTAGGCTTAAAGAAAAATCTGTTGTTTGTCTGAAATTTGAACTCAATCTTGTGTTCTGGATTTTTATTTGCTAAATCTGGCAATCCTACTCACATCCTTATCCTATTTAACTTTCTATGATCATTATTACCTCTCAATGTACCATATGCTTTGTCTTCCTGTTAAGACAGCAGTTCTATAAATTGTTGTCTGCTTGGTCAGAATTCTTCCATTGGAGCCAGACATAAAATAGACATTCAATAAATATTTAACAAATGAGTGAACCCCAATTCATTCAAATTTGCATCAAAGGTGTTAATGGGTCATAACAGATCCATTTACCCGAACGCATAAGATGTAACACGGGCTTAGTTTTATGCATATTTTTACTGTTTTCTAAAATAATAAAACCTACTGGGGTGTTCCCAGTGGCCTAGGGGTTTTAAGTCTCAGCACTATCACCGCCAGGGCCTTACTTTGATCCCTGGCCAAGGAGCTGACCCATATGGTATACCAGATCAGTCGATCTGCCTGTTCTGCTCCCCAGTCTGTCTCTAGTGAATCATCTCACCCCTGTACTTCTGGCCTGTACCTGGGTTCTTCTATGCATATATAAATATTTAAAAAAAAAAATAAATAAACCAACAATATCCTCCACCCTAAGCAGAGCAGTCTCTGCCTGTCTTCCCCTGGGAACCTACACTAGCCATTTTGATTAGCATGTATATCAATGGAGTTTTCTTAAGATCCTTCTGCACTAAAAACCACCTACAGGAAACACCTTCTATACTTCCTTCTCCAAAGTTTCTGAAAGCTACTCGACAGTTCCTCTGGCTGAAAAGAATCTCTCCATCTCTTAGAGGGAGGCAACAAGAGTTACTCTTCATCTATGTCTCATAAGTTCCTTATCACTTTCTATTATGTACTGTATTTTTTTTTTTTTTTTACAAACTCTCATTACAGAAAACAAAACCACAGTAATCACTCAGTACACAGATCCAGCAAATGCAAACATTCACCAAGCTTTCTATAGTTAACTTCTGAATAGTATTTCTAGAGGATTTGGGGGGAGAAGCACCCTTCACCTTGAGTTTCTTACAAAAAATTTTTGTAGAACTACATTGAGTAAATAAGTGGTTTAGTATCCATTTATAGTTTACCATTTATTAGAATGTATCCTCAAGTACTGAAATAGTTTATAAAGAACCTAAATGTGAGGCTTAAATGTTTAGTATTGTGTCCAGGTTATAGGAGAAATAAAACATACTGGAAGTTGAAATACTGGAATATACCTGCTGAATCAAAGTCTAGTTATACATTATTCCCTCTCCTTTCACATAAATACGTGTTCTCTATTATATAGAAATGTTTGGGTATCACTATATTTGAGAAATATCAATTGTCTGCATTTTGAGTGCCCAGAAAATATTCCAAGTGGGCATTTCACACATATCTGACACATAAATCTGCCATTAGTTCACCCAGAGTCAAAATTTCTCCAAAGCATATGGAAAACATTTTAAAACTCAATCATCATATTGTTAAATGAACTGATACAAAGAAAAGTACAAAGTTCTCTCTGTAATTCTTTATTAAAAATACTGCTGTACACATAGAGACTGAAAACAGGATTAACGATGAATAAACCCATATTGGGACCATGACATTAGAACTTAACACATCGGTGTTTTTTAGGGAAGTTGTACATCCAAATCACAGAACCAAGGTCAAAAGCAAAATACAAAGGTACCCTCAAAAATATTTACAATGAAGTAAATATCCTAAAAGAATTTAAAATAGGTACAAAAAAATTGGAAATGACCAATGTTACATGATTTCAGGGGTTGTCCTCTCTGTGCTTTTATCAGTCATAACAGGAAGGTATGAGAAGTTTATATCCTTAATTTGACTATTCTCAGATATTAAAATCTTCCTATGAGTTTAAAAAAACTTTCAGACAACCTCTTAAATGGAATTATACTATGGAAAAGAGAGCTCCCCCAAAAAACACCTAAGCAGAAACTCA